TCGTCCTGCACCGCGACCTCCAGTCGTTGACGCCGCCTCAGTCGCTGGCGTCTCTCGAGGACCTCAACAAACTGCGTAGCTTTGCCGCCGATCGCGACGCCTGGAAGGAATCTACGGAACTTGTCATCATGGGCCTCACCCGCGGCCACAAGCGTCCCCGCGCGACTACAGAAGAACAAGATGCACCCCCGCGCCGCCGCCTGCGCAGCCACGGCCCGGCGAGCGAATGAAGAAGAAGGAGATTGCTAGTCTCTACGTATGCGAACTCTTTGTAACAACGAAGATAACGCGAAACACGTTCTTATATATAAATGCTTGCTATCACTGCACCCCTCAAGTACCATGTCACAGTTGACGTGATTGACCTCGCGCTTGGCCTCTCTCTACCCGATTGCCTTCCCACGTCTCCTTTGAGTCGTTTCCGCGCGGGAGAACTTTCGCACCGCCTCCTGGCATCACCCCCATGAGTGCCGACGACATACTGCACGTGCTCTCAAACGTTTGTGGAAGCGTCAGAGCGGCTTTCGCCTCGTATGTACAAGCGTCCTGCATACGAACAAAACCATTGCATTTGCAGTAGGCAGATACTACTGCGTTGCATCCGTGAGTATTGACGTGTGTCGTCGTCGTGAAATATATAAGCAAAATGAAAAGCAGTGTGAACAATGGCACCACACAGCCACGCACACGGTCCATGATAACGAGGCGACGTCGCATGTGTACTTAGACCTTGGTCGTCTTGGTGGATCCAGGAAGAAGCTCGAGGCCCAAGTGGTCGTCGTCGCAGGCGCTGACGTTTTGCGCGCTGGTTCCGGTCACAAACAAGGCGACGCCGAGTGCCAGCGTGACCCACGAGATGCCAAAGAAGAGGTAGACGTCGGCCGTGTAGTTGCCTGTCACGTCGCGGAGGTATCCCACGAGCACGTTGCCGATCGTCATGGCGAGTGCATCAAAGACCTCGAGGACGCCAAACGCCATGCCGTAGCGTTCTTGGGGCACTGAGGTCGCAAGCGCTGCAACGAGGACGGCGGGTGTGACCGTGAGACAGAGAGAGATCAGGAGCAGCGTCACGATCGGCGTGTACGGTGTAAAGAGGAGCCACGCAAAGGCGACGACACCGCAAACGGTCGACGCGAGAACGTAATGCAATCGGCCATGGGTTCGATCCAAGATGAGACCGAGGACAGGCGAGGTGAGGACGAGGACATGGGAGAGACTCGCGAGGACACCCGAGAGCACGAGCGAGTAGCCGTACACTTGGTAGAGGTAGCTGGCCGAGATGTTTTGGAACCAGTGGAAATTCTGCACATACAGGATCTGAAGCGCGAGCACGAGCCAAAACTAGAATTGCACGTCAGCTCCAAACAGATAGATAGCAGGAAAGCGACGTACGAGGCGCGGGAGTGTGCCCACGAGCCGCAGCGACTCGCGCGAAAGGAGTCCGTGCTTGCTGCCATGCGCCGCCGGCGCGACCCGTGGGCTCACAAAGGCCGTGAGCCACGGCAGGCGCGGGTCAATGTCCTCGACCGCCAAGGTTCCGCGCAGCGTCTGGAGGCGCTGCGTGGCGTGGATCACGACGCACGCACAGGCGAGCGAGATCAGACACACCACGTCGCCGTACCAGAAGCTGTAGACGTAGCTGCCAAAATAGAGTGCAATCGGAGCCATCGTCCACTTGGCTACCATGCGCGCGACGTTGGTCATGGCCACGATGATGCCCATCGCGCACGTGATCTCGGCCGTGTCAAACCACGTGGCGGCGAACGCCCGCGCGCCAACGTACACGCTGCCCTCGCCCATGCCATAGACAAAGCGCCCGGCAAGCGCGAGCCCGTAGCTGTGGTGGGCCATCGCGAGCGTGAAGATCGTGTGCCCAAGAATCATGAGCCCGACAAAGATCGCGAGGCAGCGACTGCCATCGCGGTCGAGCCAATGGCCACCGACAAACGGCAAGAGCAGGTTCGGCCACGAGGCCGCCGACGAGAGCGCACCGTAAAACGTGTTGCTGATCGGGTACGCTGGATCGTCGAGCA